CTTTTGTAACCCTGCAATGAGCAGAATTGTCGCCATTTCTGCGTCGAGACTGGCCTGAACTGACGGATCTGAGATAATTAAAAAGGCAAATTCACCGTTTGTGCTATAAATCATCTTATGCTATAGGTGACAATACGTTTGTAAGCTGAGTAAATCCAGGCTGAAACGCACTAGGCTCACCGGTACGATTATGCGTTTTTGCACTAAACTCGCAGATCGCTATTAGCAAGAATGATCCTTACGCTGTAGCCTAACACTTAGGCTACTCTTGGCCGTGTTTTGATCCTTAACAGCATGCAGGAGGAAGGGCACCAGTTGGGATGAAGGTGGTGCATTATTATAGAGCCACACGGACATCAAAGTGCATGATTACCGGTTTTTTGCATGAAGTTCGGTCGTTTTTTCGGTAAATGATCGCTTTGTGAAAAAATGACAGATGCAAATTTTTTGAAAAAATGCAAATTTCCAGTTTACTAAAAAGTGGAATTGCTCCTCGAGCGGTCGTTTGTCAAAAAATCCACTTTCATTTGCATATGCGATTGCGGTTAAGTCCAAGATACGAACGGTTTTTTGAAAATATTCAGATTTTCAGTTCATTAGAAATTGAAAGTATTGCTCGAATGGTCGTTTTTCAAAAAATCCATGTTCATTTGCATATACAATTGCGGTTCAGGTCCGAGTTGCTGACGATTTTTGGGTTGAGGAGCTGCTTGAGGCTGTGGTTGGAAAGCTAGAGAGCTGAGTTTAAAAGTTTTATCTCGCACGTGCATAGAAATATCCCTACAAAGTTTCAACTTTCTACGTTGTATGGTTCTCGAAATCGTTTCCCGCCGACAAATTTCTTTGGGGCCCCGTACGCGGGGTTTAGGCGCGTGTGGGGAAAGATCTTAATACGGGAGGAACACGGGGTAGGAAAATATATCCAAAGTTTCAGCCTCCCAGCTTTCCTAGTTGCTAAGATGAAAGTGCGTGACAAAATGCACTCGCTTTCCGAACATACACACACAGCCTCTGGACAATATGCGTTTTGCTGGCTGTAGCAGCGCTATAGCGCTGTACAGCAAAAATGCATAATAAAAATAATAAATAACAGCGCGCACCAGGCTAGCCGGTGCGATCGTGCGTTTTGTGCAAGTCAGCCCATCGAACGATTGCCTATTAATGATTTCCACTGTTTTTTACTTTGGTCTATGCAAAAATAGCTCAAACATTGGAAA